GGAGAGCACCTGATAACTCCATAGTTAGCACTTGTTTCTGTTCTTATTCCCTTCTGTTAATACAGCTAAAAGTAAGAATATAGATTTTAATATTTTTTTGGAATGTAAGGAGTTGGTGTAGCCACTGCAAATCATGTAACCACAAAATTCGTACATCAGTCAGGAAAACGGCTGGTCATATCTGTGAAACACTTAAAAGTAGCACCATTTTTAGAGAAAAAAAATCTAATATACTTACAAAAAATACAGACATTTAACTAAACAGTGACACTTGAGATTTAAAAATTGCCTGATGTATTGTATGTGTCAGCACTGCCAAAGTATTTACATAACCAGTCATAATGCTTCAGTATTCATAACCCTTATTGAAGTGAGGTTCAAGTGAGGAGTATCATCAGTCTGGTTTACTGTAGAATGCTGACAATGACCCACAGGAAGTCTCTGATCAAACCAAGTGCTAAATCAAGAGTCCCTAGTGGCTCAACCACAGTCCTATCCTCCTTTCTCAAACTTAGCACTGTCCCTTCTCTCATGGTGAAGTAAAGAAACCACAGCTTCACCTCTGGGAGCCCTTTCCCTTCCTGAAGGGAGGCTCCCTTCTGTGCCATCATGCTCATTGTGGTGGAGGAAGGCAGCACTTACCTGGGCAGCCCTTACTGCTCCTGGTGTGTTTTCCCTGCACAGAAAGGCAGCCTGGATTTGCACCCCTTGCTTGCCATCCCCACTGCTGAGTCTCAGCAGTCCCAGGACACACCCCAGGCTGCCAGGCACAGCTTGCAGGCGGCAGAGCCCAGCAGGCACACCGTGAATCCTGCTGGCTGGGAGGCAACAACTGATCAGGTGTTGTTCCATGGAAGCTTCACGTGTTTTCTATTCCTCCTCAAATGCCAGCAGGATTTTCTTTGGCTATAAGCCACCATAATAACTACATACCTAGAGCAACAGAGATATCTGATTAAAAAAATTTAAGTGCTTCAGCTTCGCAGTGACTGGACTGATGGGATAATGAGTGCTTGCGTTTCTAATTAATTATGGCTTTTTAAAATTTTCATGCAAAAAATTACTTGGAATTTTTACTTTGCAACTGTTTTATGTATTTGTGATGAAAGAATATTTTGACTAGCATTCATGTGATCATTACATGATCATGCAGCTCTGAGCATGTTTTTCAAATGGTTGTACTGTTTCAAAAAACACATGCTTTAACCACAACTCCAACCAAAAAATAGTAAAGTGAGAGTAGAGGATGCAGAATAAATGCAGAGATTTTTTTCTGCAGTTGACTCCACAGACTAATTAAGACCAATTAAACATATGTTAGACACAGCCATTCAAAAGGCATTGCAGGGTAACAACATGTCAGTGCAGAAAAAATTCAAAGTAACACTCTCTCCAGCAAGATACCAAATATCATATTGAATAACAGATAAAAAATAGGTTACAATCTGCTATATTTACAGTCCTTTTAAAAAGAAGAGTTAAGAAATAACCCCAGAGATCCACAACTCATTCCTCTAATATGCCTTATTATATCCTATCCAATTTCACAGATTAGTTTCCTAGTCCCTTATTACAGTATGCTTGGTTGTGTACTGCCCTCTAAATTGATCTCTGTTTTCCTAGGTTTATTCTGCCCCTCATTTATATAACTTATCAGTTTATTCTAGCATAAACATAATATTGCTATGCTTATATTACTCTTGACACATACCCTTGCATGGGTGTATCAGAACATCCAATTCCAAAATACTGCTAGTACACATCTTATCAGCTGGAATGTTTTGGATAACATACTTTATTATGTCCTCAGAGTTAATATACTAGGATCACTGTGTACAGTAGATTAAGGGTGTCTACTCCTGTATCAGTGTTATTCTAATTTTCCTACTCGTACGAAGCCAACTATTTTTTTTACTATAAGATCAAGTCTATAATAAGTACTGGCTTTATTCCTGCAAAACTGAAAAATTTATGTTGTTAAACACAGTTTCAGGAGGACTGGATATTTATCTATTTGCCTAGCACGGTATTGGGAACACTCCCCAGCACTGATAAGAATATATGGCACCTGTGATTAAGGTGTTAAATTAGGAGCTTGGAAATACTGGTTTTACAGGCTTCCCATATTACCCTTACAAATCACTTCTCACTTGACTCTGCCAGATATGGTACAACATTATTCAGGCTTCTTAAATGGGCAACGGTTCTTAACATCTCCAAAATACCTCATTATAATGATATGGGGGTGAAGCTCATTAAAAGGAAATTTCTTTCACTAGAAAAAAGAGATGGGAGTGTAGAGAGTGGCAATACATTGACTGTACACGAATTACTACACATCACTTTCTCTCTCTCCTCTAGAAGATCTCAGAAGGGAATAAAACTTGTGTGCCAGGCTCATACTTGCTAAAAGAAGCAAGTATTTTATGTTGGGAAAGTACCCAAAGGCCCTAGTCCATGAGATCAAAGCCTCACAGGATCTAGGCACTACATCCCATAATGAAAGACAATTCCTGCTTTGTTTATAATTAAACAGAATAAACAAATACAAGAGTAGGGAAAGGAAGAGGTATATCTTGCCCAAAGCTAAACAGTAAATTTGAAGGAACAGTTAGGAGCAGAATTACTTGCCAAATGAATAAAGAGGCAAATATCTTCAGTGGATAGAGCGAAAAGTTCTTCATCCTTGTGACTTTTGATTCTTGAAATACATCCTTCAGGAAGTATCAAAAAGGGACAAGAAAGCCTGGGTAGGGGAAGAGAAGTAGGAGCAGCAAGCCAGCAGAAAGCAACCATAGGCTAATATGTGGATTTTTGCTCCTGCTTGAAGGCCCTCAGCCCCTGGAACATACTGAAGATACAAAGAGTACAGAAGTAGCTGAGCTCCCTGGAAATACTGTATGCTATCTTTGAGGACACATAACTTTTTCTTTTTGTCTCAGGAGCCCCAAGCACACTGTAAAAGTAAAAGCAATTGTGAGAGTTCATCTCCACATAATGGCATCTCCCCTCTAGAAGCAATGTCTCTGGGACACTGCCTACCCCAGTCATAGCAATCCCTTTCCTCTGCTAAGAGGCCACAAGGACCTGCTCCTCACAGTCAGCTCTCTTGTGCAAAGCCAGCCACAACAGAGCCCAGCACTGTGGTGAAACTGCTAGCTTCAGACTGAATGAACACAAATTAAACCATTATCAGAAATAATGAGTGCAAATTAGCCAGACAACCAGCCACCACAGTAAGAGAGACAGCTGAACTGCTGGCACATTCCATAAGACTAAATAAATAAATAAGCAAATAATAAGACCATTCAATAGATTACAATCTCCTGGAAACCTAGCTGCTGCTTAGTGCTTGGAATAGCAGAATTATTAATGCAAAATTAATATTGAATAACAGATCAAAAACTTCAACTCTCTGTTGAAAAACACAAGGAGAAGAAAATTCTTTAAGGCAACTGTCTTTATTTGGAAACAGATATAAGTTTTCCTCTTGAATCAATCTATCAGAAATAAACAAAAATTAAGGTATTTCGGAAGTTGCTCATTTGGTTGTCAGCAGAAAAAGAAAGTCTTAAAATTAAAAGAAAGAACATACAATGATCAAAATAATGCAATTTCTATGTCTTGTACAACACTTTTCCTCTGCCCTCACCCATGCAGTAAAAATCTGTAATCAGATCCTGCCTAGGAATCATTAGACAGAGCTTCCCTGACTTTTCCACAAAGGCAATTAGAAAATCCAAACCATACATTCATCCTTCAGAGTCAAATAACTTGCACTGTGCCACAATCAAAGAGATTCTCAATTGAACAGAAGTGTACTCACTTATGGCACATAAAAAATCCCTAGGATTGAAGTAAAGTTGATAGGACCTCCATCCTGTCTGCCTGGCATAAGTTGCTGATAATGCTTTAAATTTGGCCAGGAGTTGCAGTGACATCAAACAAATTTATATTGGGTTATCAAAATATTTGCATTTTCCAATTCTGAGGCAGAACAATAACATTATGATAGTGAAAGTAAGCTATCCTATCATAAATTAATCCTGAAATCAGTTTCTACAAATCTGCTCTAACAATCTACTTTACCTTGACATACTCTTAGTCCCTCTCTTCTCCTTAGCTATGACTTAATAAGCATTTTATATAATTCAGTGATACGATTTTATTCACCTAGAAATCAAATGTGTTTTAATTCACAATGTTCAATGTATTCATGTTTTCTAAGTCCACAAAAAACAGGTCTGGGATATTGTTTGGCTTGCAAGATCACATCTAGAAAGGCAACAGGTGACAATGACACTGTTATCACTAAGTGTGAATAGCAGATGGAACCTATTCCTGTCTCATTGTGTGGTAGCATACAAGGCTTCAAATCTTATTGTCACTTCCAATACTGAAAGCTAGATCCATATCCTACCTTATTCCACAATGGTTAGGGAAAACACACACACTTTCCAGCTGAGATCACAGAAGCCTTACTTAATTCTGAGGAACTGCAATTCTTCAGAAGTATTCTGTTAATCTGCTATTTAAGTTGAAATGATTTCCAGTTTCTGTTCTAGAAACTGTTCAGATCAGAACTGATGTATTTTTAACTAATTATATAGGAAATTGCTATAGCTATAGAAGACACACTATCCCTGAGCAAATAAAAAAATTAAATCCGACATACTAGAGGACACAGAGGGGAGAGAGAGATTTAAGTCAGGGTCACTTACATTTGCTGACAGGGTAAAACTCCTCGAAGTGTGTATTAATATATTCAAAAGCAATTAAAAATTCATGCACATTTTCATACCTTTTCTTGATGCTGGGGTGGTTCAAAGTAATCTTTGAAGTAAATGAGTATCACATTCTTTCTTCCAAGAAGCTCTTTTAGCCAGTATGTGCTATACCACCTTACAACATTTGCCTGCAAGTGCTGTTGCAATTGTAGAGTCTCACTATTTAGAGGGGAAGAGAGAGAAAGATCTTAAATATAAGAGAGTTTGACCTACCTTACTTAGTTCTTTGAAACAAAAGACACTGTAAATCAGGGATCTGAGCTCTGCAGCAGAAGGAAGAATGAAATGATCTGCAGAGTTCAGAGTCACTTCAGTGTGATTCCAGCTGCTTCACTTGGCCACTGCCTTCCTTCTAATAAAGCTGCAGAATGATATAACGCCGTGTTTGTTTTCAGCTGAGGAAGTTGTTTCCAGCTTCCCTTGGTTTTCTAGACCCATTTTTGAAATATTGCCACGCTGTATAATCCCAGTATTTCACCAAAAATAAATGTTAGACATTTGAATGAATCATTTTGGTCAGTGTCCAAGCAAGCAACAGATGTGGTGGCTGATGAATGGAAAGAGACCTTACAGTTGTGGGCTGCTTTTTGTTCTGCAGAGAAGAGGTTGAACAGTATTTCTTTGTAAGCATTCTGGTTTATAGAAAATAATGTTGAATGAGCTGAAAGATGTTTAAAAAGTCACACTGAAAGCATCATTTTGTAACTGTACAGTGTGATACATTCATTTGGTATTTAGGATTAGTAGATTAATCTCCTTTTGTGTGTAAGAGAGAAGTAAGATCTTCAAAACACTAATTAGTGACACTCTGTCAGAGTGTAACACCGGCCAGGAATTTGAACTGGATTTTAGGTGACTGGGCCTGACTCCCAGTTCTCTAAAGAGCCTGATGAGATTTTGTGGCCGGGCCTCATGAACTCCATATCGTTCAATTTCTCAGTCAGTAAAATGGAAATATTATTCCCCTAGTATCTACCTACCACAGCTTATCTGACTCTGATGGTACCACAGTAATAATACCATTTAAAATCAGCTAAGCATCTGCCAGTCTACCCTGCCAGTGGAAACAATAATTTAATAGTGGTACTCCACTGTCACTAATGTAAAACATGTAACATGTTCAACATCGATTGACTCTAGTCAAGGTCAAATTTTCCAGATAGCAAATCCACTGATTTCAGTGAAAAATTAAAAAAATAGAAAGAAAAACCTCAACAAACCAAGAAAGCATAAAAAAAAATAAAAAACCAACAAAACCAACCAACCAAACAAAACAAAACAAAAACCTCAGAAGACTGAAGTGCTTAGTGAGATCAGCTAAATTGGGATTTCAGCATCTGGTTAAGAAGGCTATCAGCTCTTAAGCAACTCTCTTTATGTTCATAGTCCACAGATTCTCTTAACAGGAACCAAAAAATCCTTCTAGCAAAATTAGTCTTCTTTGTCTTTCCTCCATGACAGTTCTTCTTGTTCTGCCAATATAACTTTAAACACTGAAAGTTACACATGTATAATGAAGTTTTAAATGTACATTGTACATGAGTGGGACAGCCTCTAATTCCCTGAAAGGAGGATGGGGATTATGCACAGAGCCCCTGGATCATAAGGAAAGCACAGGGGAGCAGGATTCCCAGGAATATATGGGGATAAACAGAAGGGGTTGCCTGAGGAAAGCATCTCACCTGTTTATTTCTTGTATTTTAAAGTTTTCCTGTTTTCTCTAGGTAACTGATTGGTGAATCTTCACTAATAAAAGCTCTTGTCACAGTAATTATCTTCTTTTGTAAATATTTGGATAGGTAAATACAGGCACTGTTTAACAGCAGATCTGCTGAGGGTTTTTTTTGCCTGTATTGGCACATGAGTCTGTGTCTCTCTAGATATTTTGCCAAATCTGATTATTGTAAGGCAGTTAATTCAAAGATTTGCTCAGTATTATTTCAGCAAGACAAAAGAGGAAATTAAGAGGTAGATAACCCCCTGACATGGTCAGCAAAAAAAGACAAAACCTCCATCAAACAGTCAATTTGCCAAATGCTCTTCCTGGTGAAGAGAGCATTCTGGAGAGTGCAAAAGATTCTTGCAGTTCAGGGTAGTGAGAAATTGTCCCTAAGGCATTGTTCCCTTCAACAAAATTAAAAACAGGTTTGTGACTATTGTAACATATACTGGTGCTGATACCTCAGCTTTTCCATCCTTCAGAATCAAGGGAGGATTAAACTCCATGGAGCAGTTTTCCTCACCCTTCCTTACCACTGAACCAAATATGAAATACCAAATGCTAAGGGCCCAAAAGTCACTTTGCAGAGGAAGTTAGAATTAATGAATGAATGAATTCCTAATTTCATAGGAAATCAGATTTTTTTTCAAGAATAGCAGATTCTGCATTTAGAATAATTTTTTACCTCTCTGTCCTACCTACATTTTCTCATTTTCCATTGAAAAGGACTTTTGATTGATAAGCAATTACCCAACTTGCACAGTTTTGCCAGCATAGTAACATATGGGAGAAAAGGAAAAAAAAAAAGAAAACAGATTTTTACCAGCAAAATTGCATTCAATCAGCAAGGGCTTCCTTCTGCTTGCTTTTTGTTTAGATCAACCTACAGCGTTTTAGTAATATATAGTTTTGATTATCCACAGTAGAAATCTTAAACCCCTAAAGAATATGAGCTTAGGCACGAAATCTTTCATTGTTTTAGTTCTTTCTATGCTCAGACACAGTGAAACTGGAATGGTGAGTCACAAATTAAATGGCTTTTTAATACACACTTTTTTGCAACCCATTAACCACTGACATCATTTGAGTGTGATCTTTGCAGATAATTTTGTGGAAGTTATAAGCTGGAAAGAAAATTAGTGAATAAAAAAAAATACCTTGTTTACTTTCTTGTCTTCTTTCTCTATTTGGAAGTTATATTTGTATTTTGCTGTGTTATTTGTGCTTTTTCAACTGGGTAAGTTATCAAAGCCAATTTGCCAGAGAGCTCTGAAAAGGGACGTGCATTCATCAGCATACAGTGCACCTGGATCTTGCAAATCAGGGAAATACTACTTTATACCTGATGGAAAAAGAACAAAGTAGAGGATTTATATACAGATAATAGACATTGGGTTGTCCAGCAGCAAATAAACTGGGTCTATTGAAAAGCAAGTTAATTTTAAAATCACTTCTGGCTCTTTGTGGGCTTTTTAACTCTATAAAACAAAACAAAAACACAGGATGTATGGAAAAAATATACAGGGGAAAAACTTCCAGAAATGCTTTACAGGTAGTAACCAGTAAAGCACAAATTACAAAACAATTTTTTTTAAAATGTAACTTTTAATTTAAATGGATTGCCAACAACTGCCTGATAGCTCTGACAATTATACCCACTGCTGGGACCACCGGATCTTATCTAGCTGCCTATTAGTATGTGCTGATAATCTTAGCACTAATCAACATCCCATCAATGTTCCTTAATTCAGTTAAACTGTACAAACCAAGAATTTGCAAATTAGATCAAACAAAAGATATTTAGTTTTTCTCAGGGTTAATTTAAGCTGAACAACACAAGAAAGCGACTACTTACTGCTGTTTACAGTTAGGTCTTTTTTTTTTAGAAAAGTAATTCTTCATTGTTCCTTTGTCCTCACTGTTTGAATACTTCCTCGACTAAAATCCACTCTGGAAAGACCACGTTTAACTACGTGACAATCAGGAAAAGGGTAATTTCCTCCCTTCCTGTGAAACTAATGGCTATTCATGCCTATCCTTTAGGTAAAGGATAATGTAATGTTTACTTGTGGCTTAAGTACCCACTATATACCAGAGTCAGCAACACTGACAAAATTTTCCAGCAACACATTTGAATAAATCACCCGATGAAGGAAGGTTTGGCTCATTTAGGCAGGTCCACACCTCTTTCTATGCTGACATTAACGATCTGAAAGATTTTCATGTATAACACATTGAAGAAATTCAATAATTCTGCAGAAGGCAAAATCTTTCCTCTTTATTTTAGTCACGTCAAAACACACAAGCATATGTGGCTTGGCTATACATCTATATATGAATGCATGTACATACCAGGTCAAGCTGCAGCACTTCATGTAACTCCTGCAAACACAGTCAGCAGGGTGTTGATTCTATGAAATAATGCATATTATAGAATAATTTATTATAGTATATATTTATGTGATGTGTGTATTATATGTTATTATATAATGTATTTTTATATGATACCTGGAGAAAAATACCATTAGAAATACCCTTTTTCCTCCATAGACTTTACTTCTATATGTGCATTTCTTCCCATTTTCCACAAGTAAGTAGGAATTATTTTCTATATAACTTTCAGACCACAGGTATTCAAGTTTTATATTCATGTGACAATAATAGAAGACATAATACTTGCCACTTAGATAACACTTGAAATCCATGGAATTTTCAGAGTGTGTCTTGACAACCAAACTTCTGATATATGTCATTGAGTGCTAAAGATTATATTAATTGAATAGCTAACTAGCCAACTCAACAACAGTATTTTTCCATTTTAGCCAAAGCGCTGTCTCCTCCCATGGAAAGGAATGCCAGTGTTTGGAAAAATTATTTCAGAGTGATTACAGAGATTAGAGACACAAAAATAAGGCTATGCAAACTTTAGTTGTTTCACTACGTATTTCACAAAATATTTTCATATCTTCAGTGCTGGTGTATGGATTAACCAACTTGCTCTTTCTCACCTCACATGAATTTCCTAGAACTATAGAGTAACCTCTGTAAACAGGTCTGAGGAGTGAAGCCAGAATTTACTGCACCTTGGATTGAGTCAGATGTCTCAAAATCTGCCCAAAGCCTCGCCAGTCTGGGTTCAAAGAAACCCAAAGCACAGGGATGAACTTTAACCACACCTCTTCAGGACTGAGGTTGCTCCACCTACTCAGGATGCAAGTCCCAGCATAACTGCTTACGCCTATGCTTACAACAAACAGAGATCTCATTTTCCATTTAAAGTGCAATGACTGAGTTTCCCCCTTTTATATAATATGTCTTTGTATTAAATCCACAAATCCACAGTTCAAACAGGATTACATTATGATGTTACAATGGGCAAAACTCCTGCTTCTGTTTCACATTCTGCAGTCAGCTATCAACAATTCACAGCCAAGTTGCTGAAGACTATTATGATGAATAACAATGCATAAAGCAAGCATATTTGCATGAAGGAAACAATCACCAGTTCCTGTCCCTCACTATTCTACAGCTAGACTATTGCTC